CCCCCCCCCCCCAGCTGGCCCAATGCTCCCCCCCAGACTCAGGGACCCTCACCAGCCATTATCACCAGCAAAAGCCCCTGTGCCCCCAGCCCCTACCTGTGTCGGGGAAGAAGCTGTTGGCCAGTTGCTGCTGCTGCAGGACGAGCTGCTGTGGCTTCAAGCCCAGGCTGGAGGGCTGCACCCCAGCCAGCTGCTTCTGCTGGGCCAGGGCTGCAGGGACTGCAGAGGGGGCCACGAGCGCATGAGGCGGGGGCTGCGCCAGTGCCATGTGGGTGCCCAGGCCCTGGCCCTGTGAGGCCCCTGCCAGGCGCTGCTGCGTCATCAGCTGCTGGGGGGCCACCAGGCCCTGTTGCCGTGAGACCAGGCCCAGCTGCATCTGTGGCCCCACCAGGCGGGGAGCCTGCGTTTCGTGGGGCTGAGACTGGGGTTGGGGTTGGGGCTGGGCTGGAAGCATGGTGTGCGAGGGCTGCAGAGGTGCAGTGCTGCTGGGCAGCTGGGCTGACAGTTGCTGCTTCTTCTGCAGCTCCTTCTTCTCATGCTCCAGCAGGTCCTCAATGAGCAGTGGCAGCTCACTGGCCACCAGGGAACTCTCCATTTTGTCCAGATCATCACCTGGCAAGTGCTGGGTGTTGGCCAAGCCCAAGGCACCTCTGTCCAACTCAAATTTCTCCAGCAAGGTGCTGCCTGGTGCGGCTACCTGGCCAGGTGCCAGCCCACGCCCAGGGCTGGCATAGGGGTCCTTGTCCGAGCCAGGGGCAGCAGGGTGGCCATTGTCAGGGAAATGGCCCATGCTGAGCCGCGCTGGCCCTGAACCCTGACTCAGGAGGGCCTGGCCTGGCTTGAGGTTCAACCCGAGGGTAGCAGCCACTCTCTCAGCTCCCTGGAGAGCCTCGGCCTTGATGGGGCCCGGGGGCCGGTCAGGGCCGCTGGTAGTGAATTGGCAGGGCGATGTCTTCAAGCAGCCTTCCTCCAGCTTGGGCTTGATGTCTGCTGGCAGTGGGCCCATCTTGGCCTCCAGGACACTGCCCTGTGCCTTGAAGGCGGGGTCAGGGGCTGGCACGGGCCCAGAGGGGCAGGAGACAGAAGACAACCCCATGCCTGGAGCTGGCCCCTCCTTGACCACCACCCTTTCCCCCCCAGGCGGTGCAACCTCCTTGCGCTCCCCAGCATTGGGGACCCTCGGGCCAGGCGTGGGTGGCTCTGTCTTGAGCAAGGCCTCGCGCTCGGCCTTCTCATTGGCTGACTCCACCAGGCGCAGATGCTCATTGAAGATGTCCTTCTTGTCACCGTTGTCCAGCTCAGGGTCAGTGTAGGCCAGCAAGTCAAACTCATCCCCGTTCAGCAGGTCATCTAGGTGCGGGTCATTGGCCTCCAGGCTATCTAAGTCATCATCACCCTTGGCCACATCGGGGTCCAGGCTCAGGTTGGCCAAGTCGTCATCCTCTAGGTCCTTGTGGGAGTCAAAGTCGTCATCCAGGTCAGGCTCCACTGGGACGTCGCACGGCAGCCGCCCACTCTCCAGCCCCAGTTGGCTCCTGCTGGAAGCTGAAGCCGAACCTGGAGCGGGCGCCGCAGCATCATCCTTGGGGCCCTCAGGGCGTGGTCCAGCGCCAGTAGACGACAGCGGGCGAGGGGGTACATGTGGCAGCTCCAGGCTACCCGAGGGCAGGGGCAGTGAGGGGCCTTTGGTGAGAGGCGGGTGGTGGCTGTTGCTCATCTCAGCCCCCTGTGAGGATGCAGAAGAGGGCGGCAAAGGCACCGGCATCTTCTGGGGTTGCAAGACTGGGCCGCCCAGCACTGCTGGCTGCATGGGCAGGATGGAGGTGCGAGCAGCTGGGCCGGAGGTCTCGTCACCAGGCAGGAAGAAACGGGGCCTTGCAGGAGGGCCCTGCTGGGCAAAGGGTGGCCCCACAGCCCCAGGAGCCGCTTTCTGCACATTGTGACGCAGCTCAATGAACTGGGGCCCGATGGCACCGGGTGAGGCAGGAAGTGGCTCAGCAGGGCCCGGCATGCGTGCGGCCAGCCCGCTCACAGGGGGGCCCAGCGCCGGCCGCCCGAGCTCGTGGCCTGGCGGTTGCTGGAAGCGGGTGGGCACAGGTAGCCGTAGGGCTGCGGCTGCCTGCTGCTGCTGCCATATCTGCTGCTGCTGCTGCTGCTGCTGCTGCTGCTGCGTGGGACCCGGGAACACAGCACGGGGGTAGAATGTCTGCGTGGGTCCCACTGCCGTCCTGTAATGCACAGCAGAGCGGGCGCTGGGTGGCAGAGCACCATCCCAACATCTGTCTCCCCAACCCAGCAAACCGCTGGAAGACTCCATGCCCCGCAGGTGGGCAGAGAAGGCGACTGCTGGGGTCTCTCCAGAGCCCCTGCCCACCACTGTGCTCAGGGGTCAGTGATGGGGGGCAGGACTCCTAGATTCTATCCCCAACTTTTCAGGGGATACTGAGCCCACTCCAAGTGCAGGGGGATGGGAAGGACACTGAAACAGCTGACCCCAGACCCACCGGTGAAGCACCTGGCCCCCAGCCCATCCCGTGCAGCTGCCCTTGCCCCTACCCGGGACGTACCTGCCGTTGATGTCCATGGCAGAGGGCGTGGCTGACGGGGGCGGCCGGGCCAGGCGCTCATCCTGGGCGTAGGTGGCCGGCACCAGGGCTGGGCTGGACAGCTTGGTGCCACCAGGCACTGTGGGCAGGCTCCCCAGGATGCTCTTGTCCTGTGCAGGAAGAGGGGTGAGCTCAGGTGCAGACCCCACAGGAGACTCAGCCCCTCCCAGTCCCTGATGTTCCCCTCCCCCAGCTAGAGCTGAGCTCCCCTCTGCAACAGAGACTCAAGGGTTCCCCCCAAGACTCCCCCCAACAGGGCCTCCCTTCCCCCATTGCACCACGCCAAACGCCAGTGCACACCCTCCCAGCAGCCCCCAGTCACACCTGCACGGGCTGGTACGGTGCCATGCCCCGGCTGAGCTGCTCAAAGGCCTGGGAGCTGGTGTCCGGGCCCCAGGCTGCCGGGGTGGAGCCAGCTGCGGCAGCCGCACTCTCTTTCTCCTGTCGCAGGTTGTTCCTCTGGATTTGCTGGCGGATGAGCAGCTCGCGGAGTCTCTGCCGCTGGAGGAGGGGGGGAAGCATGGTCAGGGCACAGACCTGCAGCCTGGCAACAACCCCCCAACAGACATGGGCATACACATGGCTCGGGCATGGGGTACCACTCCAAGGGACTGTTAAAACAGTTTCCTCTCTCTGGGTTGGTCTACGGCAGAGACGTACAGCATCTGGCTCCCAATGCCAAAACTACAGGGACAAGAGCCATCGCCTGGGCCTGGCAGCCTCCCACCAGGTTCCCCCTCACCTCGCCCCTCCCCAAGACCCCTAGGTCCCATGCCCAGCCCTGCCTCGACACACCCTGGGGAGAAGCATGCACAGCCCTCACCTGCCGCTGTTTCTCCAGCTCCGACTGGCTCATGCTGTTGATAGCACCCTCCTGGCTGATGGGCAGCTCCGGCAGCTCCCGGCTGGGGGGCACCGTGATGCCTGCCACAACCTCCTCCCTCTTGTCGGTGGATGGCACCAGGCCCGGTCGAGGCAGGTAGCCCAGGCTGACATCCTGCTGCTGCGGGGCCTGCTGGGGGAGCACCGATGGGGGCCGCAGCGGGGAGAGGCTGTAGGTCTCAGGGGTGGTGCTGCCTGGCCCCAGGGGGCTGCCGGCCTGGTGGAAGCTGGGCGAGGAGGCATAGCTGGTGCTCTGGGGCTTGCCCAGGGCCTGGCTCGGGGCAAAATGGCTGTTCATCCCATGAGGCTGGTGGGAGGGGGAGCCCTTAAGCGGCTCTGCGACCGAGGGTGGGAAGGTGAAGCGCATCTGGGCCTGGGCACCAGGGAAGACACTGGCACCGGGCGAGCGGATGAAGGGGGGCTGTTGGCTCCCTGGCACCTTGGCGTGGGGCTCGGGCTGTGCCGGGGGGAAGCCCCCTCCAGCTGGAGCGCTGTGCGAGATTGGTACTGTCTTGTAGCTGGAATCCGGCATCTGGGGCCGGGGGGGTTTGTGTAGAGGAGCGAAGGGGTCCCGGGACTGGGGGCGGGATGGGGGCCGGGAGTAGGGGTCAGGCGACTGGAAGCGGGGGGTGACGGGTGACTGGCAGAAGGCCTCGGTGGACAGTGGCCGGGGTGTGAGGGGTGACTGGGAGCTGGACTGGGACTGGGGGCTGGCGGGGACCCGGGAGAAGGGCTCAGAGGGCAGGGAGCGGGGTGGGAGGGCACAACAGCTATCGGGGGGCTGCGGCCGGGGTGTCAGGGGGGGCTGGGCATAGGGGTCCGAGTAGCAGGGCACAGAGGGCGACTGTCTGTAGAGGTCAGGGTGGCTGGGGGGTGAGGGGACTAAGGGCTGGGGGTCCGGGGCCCGGTGCACCAGCCCTGGGCTCTGCGGTTCTACCTGAGGGACCCGCGGGGTCAGGGGAGCTTTGAACACATCTGCCACCTTGAGCTCTGCAGAGAGGTGGGGACCAGCCGGGGAGTCGGCGTAGGCCAGGGCTGGGGCATACCCGGGAGAGCATACGCCCAGAGCCCCTTCCTCCTTCTTGACCTGCAGCCCTGCTGCCTCCAGGCCCTTCTTCTGCTCCCCAAAGGGCGGGGGCGAGAGCAGCGGCTCGGGGGGCCTGGCCCCAGGGCTGCCTGGCACCGAGAGGTTATCCAGGGAGCCGCTGGGGCACCGGGGCTTCAGGAAAGTGTCCGGGGTGGAGGGCTGGTGCCGGGGGGTCCCGGGTGAGGTGGGGTGGAACTCGGGCTGGGGGCCAGGAGCCGGCCGGGGTGTGGGCAGGAGCTGCTGCGGGGGCTGGGGTGGGAAGGGCTGGAATCCAGAGCCTGCTGTGGGGCTCTGGCCCAGGGGAGAGGAGAAGCGCGGCTCCAGTGGGTATGTGGAGGCCATGGTGTAGGGGTCGTGGGAAGGCACTTGGGCAGGGGACTGGGGCGGGAGCTTGAGGAAGAGCTCACTGGGCGAATCGGCTCCCCCTCCAGTGCCCGCGGGCTGCTTCAGGAAGCCGTCGGCCGAGGGGAGCAGGCCGGCTGCACTGTTGACGTAAACAGGCTGCCCACTGGTGCCAGGGGGCTGGGCAGAGCTGGGCAGCGCCCCCGGCTGCATTGGGATCCGCAGGTGCAGCGAGGGCCTCTCAGGCTTGCGCAGGCCCTCCCCTTTGGTTTGCTTGTTGATCTGGCTCTCAGCCTGCTGCAAGGGGGACAGTGTGGCACGAGGTCAGGGCTTGTGGGCACCCCCACCTCCCTCGGTCTGCTTGGGCCGCAGAGCAGGGGGCAGGGCCTTGTGGCAGCTCCCCAGGTGGAGTGCTGGCCTGGGAAATCGGCCACTTCCCAGCGTCCTCCCAACCAGATGGGCAGTGGGTCTGCCCCTACCCCAGGTACGTACCTTCTGCACCTTGTTGATGCGATGAGCCGCCCGATTATCTTTGGCCTTTTGCTGCACAGGAAACATGCATTTTTAGAGTTGGGCAGGGCAGGTAGGGGCCCCCACCCCCACGCTGGCACGCAACTGGGGACTTACCAAGTAGGGCGCTTTGTCCGTGGCAGGCACCTTCCTCCACAGCTTCATGATCTGCTTGCAGCGGCTGGACCAGTCTGCAGGGAGGCAGAGCTCAGTGTCAGGGCCACGCCTGGGGCATTCCAGGGCCAAAGAGCCTCAGGGGCCTTGTGAGGTTGTGTCCAGACCCACAGGGTCAGGAGCAAAGGGACAGGTCAGGGAGTGCACAGCCATGGGCCTGGTGCCCTCTCATTTCCCTGCCAGCCTCCTGCCAAAGGCATATGGATAAGGAGCTCCTCAACAAGTGAGGAAGCGACAGAACCAAGGGAACTAGGGGTAAGGCTTTCCCCATCTCCAGTGACCCTGTGCCAGGCCTATGCCCCTACTGAGCAGAGCTGAGCCTGGGGCCTACCTGGATAGTCCTGCTTGAGGCTGGGGAAGTTCATGTTGGCGTAGAGCACGGGTGAGATGGTGGAGAGCTCGCCCAGCTCCTCATCCTTCTCCCAGCGCTGCAGGCTGCGCTGGTTGTAGGAGAGCCCGTCACCCTCGCCCTCCGTGGTGGGCGTCGTGGGTGTGGAGGGAGTGGTGGCAGCAGAGCTGCTGGCCCAGGGACTCTCTGGCTCACAGTGCTCTGGGCTGAAGAAGCCACTTCTCTCCCTGTGCAGGGGGAAAGCAGGTGGCTCGAGGCAAGGTCTGGACTGCCCCCAACCCAGGGTCCGAGCACTGGCTGCGGATGCCTCCTGGGTGCCTGTGTCTGCACCATTCCCCCCCTAGACCCAGGGCTCCTCCCTGCCCTGCCCACCTGTTGTCCAGGAAGGGGGACTGGCAGACTCCGGAATAGGTCTCCATAGGGACAGCAGAGGGGATCGATCCCAGAGAAACACCGCCTGTGGGGAGGGGGAAGGTGAAGACATCACAGGCAGACACAGCCCACAGCCTCCTGCCTCCCTGGGGCAGGTGCTAGGCACAAGAGGCCGCTACAGAACCTGTAGACAGTGACCCTCCCCGCCCCGGGTCACCATGGGGAACGCACTGCACAGAAGGCAACTATGCCCCAGAGTGGGAAGGGACCCAGGAGTCCGGCCCCATTCATGCCATGTGGCTGCCCCATTCCAAACCGCACAGGGGTACAAAGGCACAAAAGCAGGGGAAGGGGCAGGCAACCCCCTACCCACCCTGTCCAGGCAGCTGCAAGTCGCCCTGCAGGAGAGGCCTCTGCGGGAGCTGGGTCCGGCTGGGGTCTCGCCCCGCCACACCGGCCTCCAGCCCAGCCGCCACGCAGTTCAGCTGCTGCTCCCGCTCCGCAGAGCCCAACACATCCTTGAAGAGCTGCTGCACATCCTTGCTCTCCATCTTGGGCAGCTCTGTGGATGGAGGGCACAGACCATGACCCCAGAGCCCCTAGACCACCAGGCTGCAGGAAGCAGACCAGCTCCTACCCCCATCCCCTGCTAGCACCTGGGAGTGGCCTGCACACCCCAGAAGGGCACAAGTTCAAGCTCCTGGCACAGCCAGAGAGGGGTTGATGTGCCTGCCAGGCTCTAAGGCCCCTCCTCAGGGATCAGGCCACTGGGTGAAGGAAGCCCCCCTGGGTGGCACCGCAGCCTGAGGACTAGAACCAATGCCAAGGCCGTGCCGGGGCAGCAACCGGCTCCGCCGCAAGGCAGAGGGAAGCACGCGATGGGGCAGCCTGACCTTCCATGGGGATCCTGTCGAGGTCGGAGCTGAGCGCGCCCTCACCCGGCGTCGCTGGCTTCTCAGCATCCCCGGGATCTGGCGAGTCCTTTGGCTCCTCTGCCCCTAGGAGGGATGTGCCCATTGCCCGTGTCAGCCTGCATCCACTATGCTGCCAGGCTCCCCCTCACCCCAAGATGTCATCCCTGCCCCCAACAGGCTACCCCCTCAGAGAGACCCACAGACCCCAGCCTGCACAGGAGCTCACCCAAGTCCTCGGCTTTTGCCTCTGCATCCTTCGAGTCATCCTCCTGGCCCATCATGGTGCTGCCATCCATGCTGTCATCCCCTGGGGGCAGCAGAAGAGGTGCTGAGTTGGCATGTGGGCAGGTCTCTTCCCCAGCAGCACAGAGGAGCACCACGCTCCCAGCGCTGGCAAGCCAGAAGGGGCAGAGCTGGCCGTCCCTGCCCCCATCTCAGCTGACACACCCAGGCCTTACCTCTCAGGCGAGCGGGGGCCTCCTTCCGGTCTCTGGGCATGCCCTGGAGGGCCCCAGGCACGCTGGGGTCCACCTTGGGTCGGGGGGCGCCCTGGCCGAAGGAGGGGCGGACGGCTCCGTCACCCACGCCGCCAGCCGCCAGCAGGGCCTTCCGGCTCATGTCCATGAGTGCCTTGCCAAAGAACGCTTCCTGCCAAAGGGGGAGCACACGAGGCGCGGCCTGGAGTGAGCCTGCAGGGGGCCCAGCCCATGTCACGACTGCCCTGCCCACACCCCCACGCTGCAGAGCCCACCTCCCATCCCTACCTGCAGGTATGGAGGGAACATGTCCTCCAGTTTGCTCTTCTTCCTACCCCGCCGCTTCTTCTTCT